TCCAGCAGTGAGAAAAGAGGGTGTGCTGAAAAGCCGAATGAAGGTGGTGAAAGAGTGGACTCGAGGTTTGCTATGAAATCTATAAAGAGAAACTTCACACATATAATTTACAACTAAAAGATGCAAGAGAATCTTTCTTCTCTGAGAGTATCAACAATAACATTTAGAATAATACTCTCACTTTAATTGCAAGACGACAGGAAAAAACCCTCCCATCTCTGTGGCCGATTAACTCCAATCTAAAGAAGCTTGCAATGAGTTTGCAACGTTTTTTTTTACTGAGGAAATAAAAGGTATTGGAAAAGCAGTCTGCACATCAACATCGGCTTCAATAAAACTTTGTTAAAGTGCCCCAATTCTGACAGATAAACACCAAAAGTTTAAAAGAAACTGCTCAGCAGATAAGCTCTTCTTCCTGTCTTGAAGTTTTACCCAGAGGTTTTATTAAGAAGGTTTTACTTGTTTTAGATCAGATTCGATTTATATCATAAACACATCCCTTATGTCAGGAGTTTTCCCCAGAGCCTTAAAAATAGCATTTATCAAACCATTGTTGAAAAAGAGAATCTTGGATAAACTGGCCCTGCAGAACTACAGGCCCTTATCAAACCTCCCCTTAAGATTATTGAAACAGTTGTATTTCAACAGTTACTGTTAATGCCTTCTTAACAATGAAAAGCCGCTCTTTTGTCTTCCGGTCAGGTTTTCATGTCAACCACAGTACAGAGAGTGCCCTGATAAAGGTGTTCAATGACATCCGTGTAAATTCAGTAACAACAGTGCTGTTATTATTGCAACTCATTGTAGCGTTTGTTACTGTTGATCACTTAATTCATTAGACCATCTGGAAAACTGGGTCAGCTTTTCTGGTACAGCACTGCACTGCTTTAAATGCTACCAAAATTATAGGGACTTTTATGTGTCAGTAGGGAACTTAAAATCAGAAACCAGAAAAATCATATGCAGGGTTCCTCAAGGCTCCATTCTGGGGACCCTACTATTCAACATCTACATGCTCTCCTTAGCTGAGATTAGAGCAAATAACAAGATAAGTTACCGTAACTTTGCAGACGACACATGGCTTTACACAGTCACCAGGTGACTATGAACCCATCAGAGGATTGGCCAGATGCCTGAAAAAGATCAATACGGCATAATTTTCTCCACATGAATAAAAACAAAACTAAGGTAAACATTCTTGGACCAAAGCAAATACAGACTTAGACAGCTTCAGAAACTACAGCTAGGAACTACCGATTATGGCCGAAATCTTGGTGTCATGATGAACTCATACCTGAACCTGCAAAGGCACATAAGAGCAGTTATCAAGTCAGCACTTTATGACATGAAGAACATTTCCAGGTTTAAAGGACTAATGTCCAAGATCTAGAAAAAACTCATTCATACGTTCATCTTTAGTAGATTTGTTTACCACAACAGTGCCTTCACATGTTTGACTAAAAAGTCTGTCAGACAGCTGCAGCTGATTCAAAACACTGCTGCCCGTGTTCTCATTAGAACTAAGAAAGCGGAACACATCAGCCCAGTTCTAAAGTCCTTACACTGCCTCTCTGTAGCTCAGAGAATAGACTTTAAAATCCTTCTGTTAGTCTATAAATCACTAATTAGATTCGCACCTCAATACATACAGTAACAGATTTGTGATCAGTGTATCAACCTCCCAGACCACTCATGTCTTCTAGTTCATGCCTACTCTCTACACCCAGAAGTGGAGCCAAACATGGAGAAGCAGCATTTAGTTCCTATGCTCCACTTATCAGGAACAAACTCCCAGAATACTATCAAAATGCTGAAAGCCTGAGTTTCCTTAAGTCAAAGTTAAAACCCATTTTTTAAGAGCTGCCTTTGACTGTTGAAGTTAAACTGTTAACTGAGATATTATTAGTTTAAATATGTGGTCCAGGTGTTTTATTTGTTTTATTTTCCTACCTGCTTTTATCATGTTTTTATTTTCATTTGCTTTTTCTCTACTGTTCTCTCTACTGTTCTCTCTTCTCTCTTATTCTCTCTTCTATTTTATTGCATAATTCATGTAAAGTACTTTAAATTGTCCATGTACTGAATTGGTGCTATAGAAATAAAGTTTTATTTAGTGTTACATACGGAAATCATTTTTTTTAGATGAATCACATTTCAGAAGAGGATCTTAAAGTCCTTCACTTGTAACTTCTTATCCACAGTTGGGGTTCCCACTTAACTTTAGGAACCACTATTATCCATTAGTGAAAAAAAAAGATGTAATCCAAAATGACGAATAGGATTGCATGTTTAATGCCATTTGGTATGAGACTGTTTATTAACAACAGCCAGTTACTGATTCAAATATAATAAACTTCCCTCAAAAAGTTTCTTTATCTTTGCAAACATTGCATGACTGAATTAAATCCCTTTTTAAAACCTGTCTTAACCTGTGTAAGTCCTTATACTCTTGCTTGAATGTACGTGTCCATGTGTACATTCATGTGTAGACTAAAGTATTTGTGCCTTAGCTTTTTTTGGCTTTACATAGTACGATTACATTTTCAGTAGAAAAAAGGCACAATGTATCCACAAATGTTATTTTGTTAAATTTATTCTTTTGGCATGGTGTTCTCTTTTTTTTCTGTCCCCTGTTCTTCTTTGCTGTGTCTCCAAAAGGACATTTGTATTTCATTAGAGAGGGGTCCAGGAGGCAAAAAGGTAAACAAAACCCCTCTAATTAAAAACAGTACATCCATGACCTAAATAAACCAATAAGATATGAGTATCCATAATAAGAGCATTATGGATAACCAATGCAAACTGAAACTTAGACCTTAAAGGTTTATAGGGAAATCACTTTGTTGCCTTAAAGTGGCACTCAAAATTGTCATTAGGAAACAGTAGTCAAATCTATGATGCACATAGATTCTGAGCTATTTTGTTTATCTGTGCTGTCATCTCTGTTTGCTCATATTAGGGAGAGCTCACTCAGGGACAGGATATGGGGATTAGGTAGGGCCTTATTGGGTTGTAGCTACATACCCCTGAATGGCTCCCATCTGTTCTACCATAAAGGAGAACTCAAGTCTCTAGCAGCACTTATGCTGCACGATGCCAGAATAACAGAATTGGATAGATGAGCACTACTGATATTGCTAGCCACAATACTGCTCTCAACTAAAAGGCTAATGTGCTAGGCTTATTCTATTAGGAAGGGATAAGAGGTTCTAATAGAAACACATACAGAACTGACTAAAAGCATACCTCAAATTGATATCTGATCGAAGATCTGAACTGGTAAGCTAGTCAAAGTCCAGGCTTACCTTTAAAAGAGATGAGTTAGAGCTGAGAAAGTTTAAGAAAGGTGGAAAGAAGAGGAATGATGGAAAAATGTGAAGAGATGGAAAGTTAGGGAGAGAGGGGGCAGTGTGGTGTGTTTCATTACAGTGAATCTTGACACTGCTGCATTCTCAACACACATGGACTGGATTATAGGCTATGTAGGCTGCTTCAACCAACACTTTCTTACACACAGACCCACTTACAAATGCATGGGTAAACATCATAGCTGACTACAAAGCTGTAGTTGATGAATATAAACGGTTTTCTTTCACAGAAGTTATAGAACTCTCAATGCCAAGAGTAAAATGTTGGGGAGAAGTGCAACATTGAGGTTACACACACATTCTGCTTGCGATGGTCCACCTGCGGATTACTGGGGGAGTAGGAGATCAACTGGAAATTATGAGTGTACCATTATGCCTGGTTTTTTGCATGGTTCCCACAAGTGCCCTTCCCCTTTTAGTCCCATTCCATCCACCATCTCTCATATACATTTATATAGCTATATTTAAATGTCTCTAAGTAGTTTCTTTATGTCTCATTGACTTAAACATATAAACATTAGCCTTAAAGAAACCCTATCTCCACAGCAAATTATTTTCATGCCCTCTTTTAAAGGTTTCCAGAACCAATAGGGGGCTTCAGTACAAACCCGGAATTATAATTTATGACTCAGCATTCTTCATTTTATGCATTTGTAGCTTGCAGCCTTAAAAAAAAAAAAAAAAAGTAATCGTACTCTTTATGTGTTGTACTGCAATTAACTACCCCACACACTGGCACACAAAGGGGTGGGTCATTGTGGTAAAATTTTATTATGACTGAAAAGCTGAGTGAAGAAAGACACACTGGCCCATCTCTGGTTTTTCTCACGGTGTCATTTTTATCACCTATGGGCTTTGGTGTGCTTGCTTCTAGGCAGCAGGGGTGTGTACAGGTCTAACCACAAAGTTATCTATATTGTCACTGAGTGCGTACACCACATGGCTGCACAACCAGTCAATGAACACCTGATATATAAAAAAAAAAAAAAAATCCATAAACCTGAAAATGAACCAGTACCTTTTAGTTGAGTTAATTCAAAGGCAAAGGAAACTTAGTTGGGTTCTGTTACACTTTTCTGTCAAGCTAGGCTAATAAAGCGGATAGGGTGGTTCCATCAGTGTTTCCTGGTAATTGTAACTCAAGCTCTTTGAAAAGGGTTGCTGTGCAGAACATTATGGTACATTTATCTGCCAGGATGAGATGACACCCAGTATTATTGGATTAAAAGACAAAATATGAGTTTAGTATAACTTTTTGTTGAAATTAGGATTCAGCGATTTTATGTTGGCAGAAACAGAGCAAAGTTTGTGAAAGCCTTAATTAAATAAATCTGTAACATCCTTTTTTTTTGTCCAGGCTTTTCAAATTCGTACATTGCAGTTTTTAATGATATCACATGTGCTCAGCCAGTCTTGTGGCCTTTTAGCTCTTTTTTAGTACACTCTTTAAAAAACAGGGCAACAATTCAACTACTTTTTTCACAATTCCCAAACATAAGATACAACGCAATAAGTCTAAAAAAAAACTTAGCTTAATATCTAACAGTCACAGTAATAACTTTAATTCAAGTCACACGCTGACAGCAACAGGATGCTCAGGGAACTTGAGCAGAAAATATATCAAACACTTACTGTACAGAAACCAAAGAGATGCCAGTTCCAATGAATAGGGTTCATCAGGCCCATATTCCCTCTTCATCATCCTGCAACCAAGCACGAAGAACACATTACTATAGGCATTAACTATGGCATGATATTGTTTTTACATACTGTTTGATTACATTCAAAAGACCTGTTTCAAATGCTTTCAGTTTATAACAACAGTTTGACTATGAGATTCTGCATTCATAAACTGAGACTTATAGTTTAATATTTGAGTACTTTTAAGCCTATGTAATCTTTAACTATAACAATAATGGTTACGCTCTCTCCCATATAAACTATATGACAGAAATTACAGACAAGACCTCTACAAACAAGACAGCTGATTCTCTTAGACAGCAATGTTATTTCCTTCAACCAAAACCATGCATTTGTAGGCAAGGCAATGTTATCTTTTCCGTAAAAGACATTTTAAAGCAAGACATTGTAGGAAAACACAAAGGCAACAGTGCATTGCGAGAACTTTAAAAAAAGAAAAACATAATAAAAAATTTATGATAAAATGAAAGAAAGTTGGACTAGACAACAGAGACTCTGTGCTAATATGACTCCGGAACAACAGACAGAATGGATCATGGATAAATGTTACCATGGATTGTGCTGACCTGGGCTTTCCTATCAAGCTTATGAAGCTTATTTGGCTACACTGAAGCAGCTAGGCTACATACAGTATGTAATGGGTTTTCAGTAAAACCTGCTAGAGCTTTTTTGCCATCATGAAGTGACTGGCTTTGACTAGCCTCTTCAGTAGGGTTATACATCATAACATATCATGTCTTTTAAAACTAAAGCAGGCACCAATGAATAAGCCATTTCAGGAGAGCAAAAAAATCCAGATTCATCTCTGTTGAATCTGGATTCCTACTGACATCTGACTATGCTCATTATAAAACTATTCAAGGACAGCCATAAAGTTAGAAGATTAGGATGAACTGAAAACGGTGGCAAAAGGCAATGCCCAAACTGTAGTTGGGTTCCTTTGTAAATAATATCTAGGTGCCAATCCACAGGACCAGTAAGGTGTTTTAAAGGTGCAGAATTTGTGTATCTGTCTATAATGTGTATCTGGCTACAATGCAAATGGAGAGTAAACTAACATTTTTGGTCACTGTGATTTTTTTTTATTTTATTCTTATCTTATTTTTATTTTATTATTATTTTAGTCTGGCAATGTGGCAATAAGAATAATTGTCTTGATGCCAAAAAGAGCCCAACAGATTTTACTTTCACGAGTGTAGCAGTATGGCAATTGCATATAAATTGCTTTATTATAATTATGCAGGGAGTTTTACAGTTTATATGGACACTGCAATGTAAATAGAGCAGAAAAACAGGAGGAGATAGAAAGGAGACAATGACAAAACATTTTCAGTCTGCTTCATCACCTGCAACGAGATGTAAAAAGAACAGCACAACCGAAAGACATGGTACGAGTAATACAATAAAGCAACAATATTTAATAAAGCAATGGAAGTGAATCTCTGAGTACCTGGAACCAAGCACCTGTAATTGTTTGTGAAGGTGCACTTGTGCATGTAAAGTTTATCCATAGAGAAAATGCTCAATAGTGGTTGTGTTTTGGTCACTGTTATGGTATTTATGGCAGTGGCTTTCTCCTTGAAAGGGATGTGTGCTGTAGGGTGAGCATAGAGACCGTCTTTATTATTACCATCCTAAGATTGACATCCCTAGACAAGTAGTGTGGTGAACCACTGATGTGGCTCTGCTTGCAGATTGAGTTTGAAAGGGGGAATATGAATTGGAAAGATGGATCAAAAGGCTAGAAATAAGTTGGGTAGGGAAAAATTTATACCACACAACATAGAAGTGACTATATATACATTTAAAACCCTCTATTTACAAGCACTGTATTTAAAGGCATATTTTTTCTTACTAAACTTCACCAAACATTAACATGTTTTATTACAAAAGGAGTTTATATTTGCTAAATGGGTCAATATAGCAACCGGGTTACAACAAAACAGGCGTCCTTAAGTAGGAGCTAGCTATCGCTAAGTTTTTCTAAAGAAGTTTCTTCACCTATCCAGGAGTCTTTGTCAATTCTGTTGGCTCGGACCAGAGTGATTTGTAGTTGAAGATCTGATGTTTTTAAGCAGCATGGAGGTCCATACTCCTTAAAATATAAACTATGTATTATTGCTACAAAAACTGTCATGATCTGCAGCCATGACATCCTCACCAAGGATGTTCCATAGGTGAAATGTCTAATTTATGCTACATTTCAAAATACAAATTTGTGCTCTTAGTTTGAGGTTTAAAATTTCTAGAAATGTTTCTATTTTTTTCTTTGAAGAGTTAAGTAGGTTAAATATTTAGTGAATAATTTGTTTTTCTCAAGAGGGTAAACTTCTTCTAAGGAAGACTATTTTTATTCTTCTTTAAGTGTGGATTCTGAGCCAGATGTCTTAACACCATATTAATATGATCACATAATGACTATGAATATTCTTGATTCTTTTTTGTTGGATCCTTTATCTTCTCTGTGACTGTGTGCTACTTCCTAATTGTCCAACCAATCATCAATGAGCCGTGTCTATTTTAAAAACTGTGAAGCTGCAGCTCTGGGTCTTTTGGCAGTTTGACTGCCACACACCACATATGTTTGGTAATGCTGAAGTTGCCGTTTGTACTGTGGTAGAAATGTCTGTGTTTTGGTCAGACTCAGGTTCCCTCTGTTGAGATGCTTGTTATATTCTGTATATTCCGTAAATTCTAGGTTTATATGTGTTTCTCTTTGGAGTTAGGGAACTTTAGGGTTTTTGTTGTCTTTCTTCATTTTAGGTATACAATACAATACAATTAGTACAATACAATACAGTGCAATATAATACAATACAATATACTTGCCTGAGGTCCTCCTGATTAAATAAAATCATCTGAAAATGATTTTATCTTCTCATTTACTGGCATAACTTACTTACCATCTTGATAGGCCTGATGATAAAGACCAGAGTGTGTTTGGGATTTGGGAGGTTGTTTTATTTTTATTTTTTACTTAAAGGGGGAAGTGCGCAATTCTGGACTGAGATCTCAAATGTTTCTCCAGGTATCTGTTGGAGCCACTTTTTCACTGCCCCGGTGCTCCAATAAACACAGGCACTACTGTTGCCTTCACCTTCCAGGCTCTCTCTAGTTCTTCCCTGAGGTCTTTGTATTTTTACAATTTCCCATATTCCTTTTTTCCTGATGTTTCCATCCTTTGGGATGGCCACATGAATCACTATTGCTGTTGTCTGCTGCCTATTAATGATCACAATGTCCAGTTAGTTGGCCACAACCACTTCATCTGTTTGTACGTGGAAGTCCCACAGGATCTTTCTCTGTCTTCTCTACCACCTTTGGAGGTGGCTCCCATTTAGGCCTTGGGTTTCATACTGTACCTTCCCTCTCCCTGTCCGGACACATTTCTTCAGCCCGGACAACATTCCAGTGTCCCTACTTTAGATCCTGGTGATGTGGATCTGCGAGTCAATGTCTCATTCACTCTTAGCATACAACTTGATCTCATCCGTGTGCAGGAAGTAGCTGATAGTGGCCCCATTTCTGAGTCGATGTCCACAGCTAGTCTTGTTGACTACTTAGCTGAGGATGTTCAGGCCTAATACAGAACAGAGGGGGGGCAGAGCATCTCCTTCTCCTTGGTTTATTCCACTTTTGATGGAGATTTTTCAGAGGCGCTTGAAGTTGGCCTCAATTGTGGTTTTTCAGCCCCATGAGGTTTGCGATGAAGGCTCTTAGAGTGCCGTTAATCTTGTACAGCCATTACAGGATCCACGTATGTGGATTGAGTCCTAGGCTTTCTTGTATTCAACCCAGGCTGTGCACAGTTATTTTTGTTGTTGTTGTTTTGTCTGGTTTTACAATCTGGGGTGACTGTTCTTTCAACCAGTAGTTGGTGTTTGGCTCCTCTTTGTTGGAGGTCTTTCAGTGTGATGTTCACTGGACATTGTTCAGGGAGGTTAGCATGGTCAGCTCTTAGGATTTTTAAGACACTGTGCATCATCGTTATGTGATCCTTCTTCCTCCCAGATACTTTTCCAGTATTGTTCAGTCTCAAGACTTGGTGGTTTGGCTGGTTTGTTGTCATCCTGCCACTGGGAGTACACCGTACCTGGTTCAGTGGAGAACACCCTGTTTATTCAGCTGGCTTACATCTCTTTGGTATACCTTTAGTCAGGGCAGCCGAGGCTTGGAGTCTTTGCCAGTTTCCAGGTCCTAAGGTACGGGCATCTGTTTGTATTTCTGCAGCATTCCTTTGCCAGATGATCCCCTCTGGAGTTGTGTGAGTTAGATTACTTCTTCCCGTGTTGTCTTGATTTTGGATTTTATTTTTCTTTCTGCCATGGTAAACATTGTCCTCTGTAGGCATATATATATATATATATATATATATATATATATATATATATATATATATATATATATATATAAATAAAACAAAAACAAACTCCTACTCACCCATGGCGGGCGGTTTCCCCCTTTTTCCTCGAAGCTTTGGTTCTGGACCTGGGAGATTGTGGGTTCTGCGCAGTGTCTTTGCTGTTCCTAGAACTGCACTCTTCTGGACCAAGTTTGGGGGTCACATTAGGGGCCCTATGACCTTCCAGGTTTTCTCCAGCTCTTCTTTGAGCCCCTCATTTCTCTTGTTTTTCGTGTTCATTTTTCCTGATGTTGCAGTCTATATATATATATATATATATATATATATATATATATATATATATATATATATATATATATATATACAGTATATATATGTATGACACCTCTGCTGAAGAGGCGCCAGTGGTGAATTTGCCAATCTTTGTGATCTCTTGCAGATGCCAAGCGTCTTGATGGAGGTCATTTTGCAGGGCTTTGATTGGTTTTTGTCCTGGTCCTCCTTGCACAAAGGCAGAGGTAACGGCCCTGATGCTGGGTTGTTGCCCACCTACAGCCTCTTTCATGTCTCCTGGTGTACTGGTCTGTCTACTGGTAGCACCCCAAGCCTCTGGACACTACACGCAGACAGTAGAACTTCTTGCCACAGATCACATCAATGTGGCATCTTGAGCCAGTTGAGTGGGTTGTAGAGTCTGTCTCATGCTACTACGAGTGTGAAAGCACCACCAACATTCAGAAGTGATCAAAACATCAGCCCAAAAGCAGAGGTACTGAGAAGTGGTCCTGGTTTCTAATACATTTGCACAACAGTATGTGAAATTTATTGTCAATCACTGTTGATTTCCAATGGGACAGTTTGATTTCACAGAAGTTTGATCTAATTAAAGTTATATGAAGTAGTTTAAATGTTCCGTTTATTTTTTGGAACAGTGTTTAAACATTGTAACACACATGCATTACCATCCAAAAAAATTAATTGAAGAAAACCCTCCCAAGAGTCATGGCCACATTAAAATTCCCTTTAGGATTAATAAAGTACTTTTGAGGTAGTTTCCAGGAAATTGATGCTTCATATCAACTTTTTCCACTATTAACTGACGTTGCAGATTCAAGACTGGATTTTGATTAATTCTGTGAGTGTTAAGAATGCCAATACATATATATTATGCATTTTTCCTGTATTTTAAAGTTCTAAGTTTAAAATTAGGGTATGAGCTTCAAACAATCAATGAAGGACCTTTGTATATTTCAAGAAATAAAAATTGGCTGTTCTAAATTCATGAAATGCAGAGAATATTCAAACCAATGAATCCATCCCCATAATGCTCATGTAATGCTAAGATATTTTAGGCAGGTGCATACATTTAGCCACAAAATAGGCTAGATACATATTTTGATATTGGGGACTTGGGTTTTAACTCCGGTTGAATCAAGAACGACATCCTGTTTAAATCTCTGCCTAGTTTGTGTCTAAGTTGAAATGACTTGTGTGGCAACCCCTGAATATGGGAGCCGATGAAAGAATTCTCTCAGGTACATTTACCACTATTAAGCACAGGGGATCTCCAATTTATGTTTGACTCAAATTTAGACAGCAGACTCAGAATTATTTATAAAGAGTAGATGCATGCAACAATTTATTTCAAACAGAACAAATGTAGTAATACAGACACAGGTGGAAATCCCCAACTATTCATCTGAAAGCCACACACCCAATAAGACATGCACAATTTCAAAGTTTGGAATCCCCCCATGCATAACAATAGAGCTGTGATTAGTTGCATTCTAATCGAAATAACAAAAAAGCTTTATGAGTTAAAGCGAAGATGTCTAAACCTTTTCTGTCTTTTGTAAAGATTGCCCTTACCCACAGACAGTTTCGTCAGGGTGCATAGTAAAGAACCACTTGAGAAAGCATCTGCATCGACATCAATCTTTTTGTGCACCTTTATGTGCACAACACAGTCACTGTGCTTAAAACAACAGTTTGTTCTCTTTCAGACACATTAAGTATGTCCTTGAGGCGATGTCGGTATTTTAGCCAGACAAAAATGAGGGAGACTGTTTCAGACTTGGATGATATATAAACTAATCTCATATATAAACCCCATCAATCAAAAACAATCATTTGGCAGGTTTTTTCTTCAGGCCTCTTATCTGACTGATATGAATAACTCTTATTTGGCAGGAAGTATTGGAGTTTGAAGGTTATAAAAAAGACGGGAGACAAGAAATGTTATGTTGTCAAAGGAGACCACAACTGAGTGCTGTTGGAGTTGATAAATATGAAATAGCTTTAACCTTAAAGGCACAAAGATGAAGGCTTAGAAAATATCAACATGTGTAAACCAGCCCAAATTTCCTCTGCTAATTTAAGGCCTGTGTGCTTCCTATTTTATCCCTCTGACCTGATCCATCGGAGGTCTGTGGTTGGCATGGGGGTCCCCTCTCGGCAGACTCCGGTGATGCAAATTTGCTGGATGCATGTGGTGCAAATGATGAGGATGATGTTGGGGGTGGATGTAGTCTTCCTCATAATTATCAGATATTAACTTCATTCTGCTCTGAGTCTGCAAAAAAGAACATAACACAACTTTTTAAAATGCAAAACTATAACACTTTTACACAAAGCCATAAATTAGCTCTTCATTTTGTTATGTGAAACTTCCCTGCGTCTTACAATGATTAGCGTAAGGAATTTCTGGATAGGGGAAAAGTATGCTGAAAGCAGTCAAAGATGATAAAAACCTAACCACTAACAACATTTGACAGATCGTAAATTGTGCAAGTCGGAGTCCTTGATGGAACTATCGTAAGTCTGTCATACATATTACAAATTATGTTTTAAATTGGATAAGATAAATCCCTATAAGTGCAGCTGTTTTGTGTAGCCCAGGGCCACACTGATGCAACCTTATTTTAGATGTCACTGATTAAAATTACACTGAAATTTTGCATCTTTCAAAATGCTTCTTTGTGGTAAATCTATACATGCATTGTATATAACTGTGTATTTATATAACAAGACTGTCATCCTGCCAATATCATATTTTAAAATAACAGTGTACATTGACTAACATGGGCAATCAGCCTTGACAGTTTGAGAGATAGAGAGGCTGACAAAAAGTAGGTGCAGATATATTGACATGCTCAGTTTTACTGTTTTAACTACATATAGTTTGCCTCAGGGCAGAAATGATTTTGGAGCTGGTGGTGGGATTTTGGATTGGATCTAGATGACTTCAAAAAAAGACGTGCTATTCCTCTGCCAAAGCCTTGCTGCTTCCCCAAGTATAATGGGAGCCAGACACATGGAGGAATAGGCAAATAGCCTGAATCAGCTGTGAAGACAAGAGTGAAATGGTGTTACAGTAGTTAGCGGCCCAGGGATAAAAGACCTGTGATAAGAGGCTGAAAGCTAATGACTAAGGAAATAAGCCAGTCAGGATCACAGGAAAGGAGGCGACTGGTATTAAAGATGTTAGCGATTAGTTTAAACTCCAGAAGGGCATTTTGAATAAGGTGAGAACACTGTCAAGGCAGTCAAGGGTGGAAAAAAAAACAAGTAAAGAATGGAAAAAGGAGTAGTTCAGACAAACACCAGACCAGTGGTTAAAGCTGTTAAACATAAGGTTGAGGTGTCCGGTTCATTATGACCTCAGGTACTACCATTAGCAGGTGTGAGTGGGTGGACTAGGCCTATGTTTACCAGTTCTGTGTCACATATGATTGAGAATACAACAATTACTATCATATACCATGATAAGTAACATTTTAGTGTGGAATCTGCGCAGTGTTTAACAACACTGTGAACACCACACAGGAGTTTTAAGCTGTGTGAGTTCCTTAGGACATTTTTTAAATTAGTTGTTAGAGGGTTAAAAATCCATTCCGAAAATGAACAGAAAAATCAACATTTAACCGATTTCATTTGCTTTAACCATTTATGTATCTGATGTATTGGTTATCATCCAAGCTTTTTTGCAGTCAGTGTAAGCTCACATGTTGAGCACCCTGTTTTTAGCTTAAAGTAAAAGCTGTAAATAGAAAGAATACCGAAGAAAGTTTTTTCCAGTACCATTGAGTAGTTTTTCAGGAGGAAGTAAAGAGATGTATGACCTATCCTTTGTTTTTCAAGCTGATGCATGTCTATAATTCTTTTCAGTGCAAAAAAATTGAGAAATACGCAGAAAATAGCAAGGCTGAAAATGCAATTTTTCTTCAGCTTTTTTAATGCTTTCTGACCCTGTTACAGATTAAGTGCAGCACTAAGGATCTATGCTCTGTAGGGACCAGAAATGAACAGTGCATTTTATAGTAAGTAATGACATGCTGATTTGGTTAAAGGCTAAAAAAAGATGCCAAATATATTACTTACAATTTCAAACATGTTTAAAATAGTAGAGATGTGAGGACACATCTCTAGTCTAGTCATTAAAAAATCATCCAGTAATCAGACATAAAAGTATCTAGATCTGAAGGTACTTTTAAAATTTTATTGATGAACTGAGACAAAATCTTGTCAATTAGGTTATAAAGTGTACCTGAGAAATTAGTACAGCTCGCATTGTGTAATCCATTTCATTAATGCACTTTTAGACACAAAGATAAAATACATCCCCAAACTCTTTTCCTACAGCCATGTTCCATACTACTTGTGTAAAAACAAAGGTGTTCAACCTTAAATCGCTGTCAGGCAGAATGTGAGTTTTAATTAGTGTTAATTAGTAGTCTTGTAGAATAAACAGCTTGCAGTGGCCTCCAGGCCTGCTTGTAGATCCCAGACAGAACAACACACACAGGTGCCACTACTGGATCTAGAGAAAAAAAATGCAGGTTCTTCACGCACATCTCAAAGTAAAACCCACTATATTATTGTGCTCGGCGTGTGTTGATGTACATGCAGCTGCTGGTGTAAACATGGCAGCAATCACTGCTGAGCTCACAGCTGCATCGCAAACCCTAACACAAGGCCTGTGTAAATCACAAGCCTGCTCTGATTAAAGAGAGGCTGTATTAACACATATGGACACAGGAAGCTGACTAGAAAGCCCTTAAACAAAGAAAGCAGCTGGGCTGGGGAAAGGCTGCACAAGTTTCACAACATTTTAGCAAGCTCCTTTAATCAGGTTTGTCCGTGTGTGTTCAGTATTACTCAGCTATCCTTGTAAAAAAAAAAAAAAAAAAACTGAAAACAGCTATCAAGCTATATGATTAGGTGGATGCTCAAATGTATCCAAAACAACAATGCCAAGATTAAGGGGACATGTTGCAGGGAAAAAAAAAAAAAAAGAAAGCAAAACTCAACTCAGACATTTCCCAATCCATCTTTCCTTCAACTTCAAAGCAGTACTGATGTGAGATCATCCATTACTTAGATGAACTGCAAAGAGAATTCCCACCCTGGGACACATTTGCAGAGACTGTCTTCTCCAGAAGTCTAAACACTACACTTTATGTGTATGTGTGTGTCTGTCTTTGTATATGTACAGTTGTCTGTGTTATGGAAGGGGTTCACCTCCACTGGAAGGAGAGTGAATGAAAGGAAAGTTTGTTTAATACACACATACCCTTGCATGAACCTTAAAAAAAGTGGGATGTGAAGAGGTCAGACAGGTCAGTGCTATCTGTAAATCAATCTGCTGTCTCCAGATCAGCTTTCTCCTGAGAGACTTTGAGTGCCATAATTCTATGGCATTTCCCAGTTAGTTTCCTTCCGCAAAAGTTTTCTACAGATCTAAGGAGGGCTCCATATCATGAAACATATGCCAATGAGTAAAGGGACAAAGTGCCTGAGTGTACAATATAAAGTGATGCGAGTTGAACAGATGTTGGTATATAAAACAGGGATAGAAAGACCAATAATCATTCATATTCAACTGATTGAAAAGAAAGAAAAATAGACCAAAACAAGCCTTAGATGCTGTATGCTAAAAACCACACAGAGGGCAAATATAGATTTAAGTGTCCACAGAAAACCAGAATTATCACATACATAACATTCAGTGAGTCAAATTAAAACAAATTTGAGTAATTTACATTTATGATGAATTGATAGATTAAGCTCTTCTTTTTAAAAGAAACAATGTTTTTCTCATTCCTTCCCTGCATTGATTTATTAATTTAACATGATAACTTATGTGTCTATAGGCCCATTTACACTACCCTTTGAAAACCAATCTGTGCCGAGTTCGGATTGAGCTTGAATCAGTTAACCATGCCGAGCTTGGTTCCTTACATCACCCTAGCACGGTTCCTCACCTCCCAGTGACAATCTACTGTACTATTGCTCTCAAGAAGTAAACATTTAAACCAACACGGTGGCGCCTGTAACATTCACAAAGTTCTTTTGTATTCATTTTGATATTTTTTTGTTTTTTTCGGAGAGTCGGGACAAGAAGGCAGCCTTTGGTGAATATATTTGACAGAGTCGACTTTTAGGAAGTGGATACGACGAACGATAGTCTAATCAGGGCTTACAGATGCAGGAAACAACAACAGACGTTGCAACGCAGAATCATCACTGGAAATCGTGTGGCACGGTAGGGAACCTAGTATTTTTATGAAGATCTGAAATTTGAGTGATTACTGAGGTTGACTGCTCATGCACTCTTTGTTATCTGAGAACCGAGCCGAACTGAACCGCGCCGAGCCCTACTGCTGAACTAGTACCAGTTTAGCGTGGTTTGGTTGTGTCTGGCACGGGCCAGTTCAGTTTTGTGTGCCATTTACACTAAACAGTTATCTCGGTTACCGTGCTCGGACCGATCTCGACACAGTTTCAAAAGGGTAGTGTAAATGGGGCTATAAAGAGGATTTTCAATAAGAAAGCACTATCTTTTCACTACAGCGAAAACTACTAAAGATGACAATAAAATGTGTGTTAAAATAATTTTTTTGTTTACATTTTCCATTCTCACTTTGGATTGAAACTACTATCTCTCATACCAGGCCACTCTAAAATAGTTATTTTCTAATTACATTTTTAATAAACTGTCTAATCTGAATTAAACTACAGTACTACAGTAGCTAAGTTAAGAAAGTATGTAGGAAAAAAAATTGGTACACTACCGATGGGCTGTAAAAACTTTAAAATTTGGCTGATAAGACACAAGTCACAAAGTAGGAACTACTGCTTCCGTTAAATTTGTAAAACCTATGTCTAACTTTCTTTGTAATGTGTTAACAGGCACAACCAGATTCAGCTTGACCACAAAAAATCAAAACTATTTTTATTTAGATAATCACTTCTGTCGAAAACCTGACAAGCAAATCCTTTTTATTAGCAACACCTGGTTACGATTTAACCCTTTTAAAAACGGAGCACTAGTTCTTTATTTTGGTTAGGTTAATGATAAAAAAAACTAGTTTTGTAACAATGTGAAAGGTGTGCACAAAATAAAAGCTTTAATGCACGATTCATATGTGCTGTTTGTGAGTTTTATGATATGTTTTTAGAAATCTGTTTTACATGCACAAGTGAAGTTTGTGTCTTTTCCCTTTAGCAAATTCACTCCTTTTTGGTGCCGTATTGAACCCAGAGGTCCAACAGTGAAATTAGACCTCCCCATAACATCATCAGGTGGACTGTAACTAATGGTAACTCAACGGAAAAACATGACGCATCAAATGGCGATAAACAGATAATTAGCTTTCCTTGAAATAACTTGAATGGAATTGCACCCCCAAGGAACTATTTATTGTTTACAAGATCCAAGCAAAAGTTGGTATTTACATGCACAGCCACTGCATCTGTTGAATTATTTTCACCCTCTATTTTTCCCAGAAGCCTCCAGTGAATCAGGAAACGTACATGTGGACTCCCTGCTGTTAGCTCATTATTGTTAACGTTCATGTTTGATCAGTCATTCATGCGGTCTGACCAAACCTTAATGACCTACATACCCTCTTCAGCCTAAGGTAATACTGAGAGCTTAAAGCAGCACGGTAAATAGCTAGGTGTGTGTGTGTGAGCGTGTGCATAGGTGTATACCCTGATTTATGTCTGTTTGGCCAACAGGCCTCAGACAAAAACAGTCCGCCGATGACTCAACAATGACACTCGTCTGTGACTAGAGTGTATCCAGTAACTCTGATTGCAACATGCCTGTTTAGATAATAGTTCCCATCGTGTCAAAATGTGCCTGGATTTGAATTGTAAGCTCCAGCTTTATTGCTCTGGCATACAATGATGGAATGCAGCAAGCGTGTTTTAAGGCATTCAAGTGGATTCTGTTAACTATCATGTTATCAATCTCTATCTGTTCTTATTTAAAGTATTGCATGAAGGGTTAGTTACTACATAAAATACCCCACAATGGTAGCAGGGTTTAATTTGTAGCCTTGATTTGTTTCTTAAAACCAAAATTTTCTCAGTCTGTATTATATAGAAAAGTTAAACTTTTGGACCAAGATTAAGTCTTTAAAAGGTTTGATGAATAGCTGTTGGCGAAGTGGACAGGGTACCTGCTGTTTGAGCTGGTGCATAAGCCTGTCCTTTTCCCTCTTCAGAGCCATCACCTCATCTTGGGCTTTCTTTCGTTTGGAAGCGGATAACTCCAGCAGGGCGATGTTAGCATCCTTCTCACTGATGGCTGCCAGCAAAGCTTGCTGCCTGACATGGTAAGAAAAAAACAAGATTACATTAGATGAGTAAGAAAATTATCACATTAACTCTTGGTAATGAACTTAAATTAAATATAGCAAAGCTGTAATTACTATGCACAAATAAAGATTTCAAAGAGAACAAAGTCCGTCATTCAAAAGCTCCTTAAAGCTAGACGGATATTCCACAGAAAAGATGCAGACATCTTTGAAGTGGTCTGCTGAGTGGTGAATTAGTTTTTCTTCACTGACTCACCGGCATGTAATAGTTCATAAGTTCTGCACACTAAAAAGGATATTACAGCTTTCGTCTGTCATTACTGGAAAAAAAACAAAAAAAAACATATATATATATGAATGACATTTCAGGTGATATATGTTGCTTCTCTATTGGCAATTTCAGGTCATTACAGCTTTTCTCTGCTCTGTCTTGATCTATCCTGCATGGAAACTCTTGCATCAGCTGGAAGCTTTAGCTTTAAGCCCCACCTCTGATCGTCAGTGTTTTTGGGCTCTGGCACTATTTACCGTTACTTTGTGATATAAATTCAGCAAAAAAGTCCCTGTGAAATGGTAAACAATAAATACAATAAATAAATCTTTATAAAATAAATAAAATGTGAAAGCTGCTTATATTATTGTACATGGAACACATTTTTTTTCTTTTTGTATAAAATCATGCACCTGGATAATTATCTGGATCACAGACCAGTCTGACCTTATAAAATAAGTTACAACTTCTCTCTGGCTGCTCTCTGCCTACACAGGGTTTTACCATGAGTGGAGTGTGACAGCGGCAATAAGAGACTCCTCAGTGCGGTCTGCTTCAAAGTTTGCCTGAAGAAGTTATTTTAGCACTTATGAGAAAGTGTTTGTTCAAGCCATTGTAAGATCTTGGATAAGGACTTTAAAACACATGGCAGTGGACTTTTGAGAATTCTGAAATTGGTTTTAGAGGGGGTATACTGGATATTTGTGACACATCATGACAAAACTAGAAACAAGTCGGCAGAGTACCAGGGTAGAAAAATAGGAAAAACCACCAACTAATGAGAAAAATGTGATTTTGGTTTTATTCTAAAATGTGCAAGTTGCAGTTGTAAAATTGGTGCTTTTAATGACAGTTTCAGAGGTTTTAAAGTGGTAAAGTTTACAGAAGATCTCTAACTTATCTACATTTGCATGTCAGAGAGGGAAAATCTACAGCTCATTTAAATAGCAGCTTTTTTCGGCTCAAAGCTAGCTGTTCTTATGCTGGTTGGCCAATAAGCTGCTTGCTTGAAGTAAACACATAGCTTCTTAACTCTAGTATAATAGTAAAATGATTAGTAAAATAAAAGAAAGCATGGCAGAAGAACTATTATGATTGCATTCTGAAGAAAGGCTTTCAGTTTCTCAAAGGGATAATTCACGTGTTTGTTCTTTAATTTAAAAACAACAATCCAAAGAACAGAAAAAAAACAGAAAAAAATGTTTTAAATTCCTTTAATAGAATAATATTGAAAAAAATGTATAATTTTCTTCTTGAAGATACATTTTTAAAAGTACACAGCTTATAAATGCGTGAAAAGATTGTTCGATCTGCGTTTGGTATCTCTGCAGTTCCTTCAGTGTTACCAAAGGCATCTCTTGGGTACTTTTTGTTAAATGCTCTTCTTATCAACAATGTGAGCTTAGGAATACAGCAAAGCCTGGTTTGATTTGCCACCGTCCTTTTTGCTTTCTGTTTTCAGATGACAAATTTGATAGTGTTTTATTACATAATCATAACCTAATCATATTCTAATTTTTCAACAACTTCCTTCCAGAATTATCTGTTTTGTTCTTTGGAATCCATACAGATGTTTGTTCGCTATATCCTAATCAATCTCTAATGCATTCACTGAGCATATAATATTCAGTATCCATACTAAGATCGTCTCAAACAGAGGGAAGTTCAGATTGCAATTGGTCACACAGATTTTATTCAGGTGTATCAGAGATAAATATCACCATTACACAAGTTGATTGAAGTGCACTTATTCCGGAGCTCCTTAAAGTTAGACAGAGACTCCACAGAAAAGAAACAGACATCTTTGAAGTGGTCTGCTAAGTGGTGAATTAGTGGTACCTCACTGACTCACCGGCATGTAACGGTGTAATAGACTCTGTAGGCAAAAGAGGATATGACATCTTTCATCTGTCCTAGCTGGTTAACAGAGTGCATGTGTGTGTGTTTGTGAGTGTACATCCTGTTCCAGAGGGGAAGGACTGAATGACTCTCTACAGGTGTAGATGAAACCCACCAACAAGGTTAATTAAACACAAACAACCAGATGTACAAATATACCACAAGAAGACTGAAGAGCATGTGCAGCAAAGACTGTGTCTTTAAGGCAGATCTTTGATTACAGTCCCTGTCATCAAACAGGATATTGTAAATCCAGAGTTGCGACACACACACATTGTCTCCCCACTCTTGTAAACACACTTACAAGCAGAAATGTTCTCACAGAGAGTCAGCCACACACACCTCTATTTTCTTTAACTCAAAACTGAAAATATTAGTAAAAGATAGTTTTCAATATTTAAAAAGAACTCCAACAAATGAGGAAGAAGTATCTTTATGTGCAGCTTTGACAATTTCGAATGCTATTGCTTGTCTTTTTAATCTAACCTTTCTTTAAACTTCACTGCAATAGTCTCTGAAGGTATTTTAAGTTGGATAAACAAAGCAGCTTAATTCCAGACTCTTAAATTGCATTTAACAAGCATTTAACTGGTATAGTAATGTTTGGGTTTGTGTAAGGTAAGTAGAAGAAGAGCGAGTCTGGACACATTTAAAGTACACTTTGGACTCTATTAGTAACCAACCTGCAATGGGGTATTTTTTTCCATGATTTAAGTTCCTGCAGAAATAACCCACTTGCAAAAGTAAACATGCTAAAATCGGAATATAGTCATGCCAGCCCAACAGTCCACGTTTTGTGTTTTTAGTATAACAAGCTCTAGGTTTTTCGATTGAAGGCCATTAACAGACCTCTGTATCTGCTTGTGCATAAAGTATATATTTACAAATGCATACATGTGGGTTCTGGCATAGACCGGAGCAATTAATCACATCATTAATCACAAAGTAAGAAAATCTTTTTGTCTCCTCAAAACTCTATTTTTTGTTGTTGTTGTTTATTTTTGTTTTGTTGTTTAGTAGGAAAACACCTATTGACATACAATGAATTTGCATCAGATTAAGTACTTCAGACTCCAGGTCTATTTTGCATAAGCTGACCAATTATTCTGTGAATACTCTTTCAGTTTAAAGATCTACTGTACTGATCAAACAAAAGTCTAATGCATGCAAAATTTAATTTTATGTTTTTTGTTGTTTTTATTTACTTGAAATGTAATGTGCAAATAATTGCAAAAAGTTCTACTACTTTGTCTTAAGTCCTGTTAAATTCAATGAGCAGTTGATGCATAGAGTCATATATGGGCAAGGAATGCAGCAGATTGTGTCACAGCTCATAAACAGTCCATCAGATTTACTACCCTCACATATTTGCAAGGCCATCTTTACACCAGGCTGCTGAATCACGTCCAAACTGTATCCCAGCTTTACCTCCTGTCTCTAAGTTTAACTCCATTCAGAAACAGAGAATGTTATCGTTAACAGGTCAACATACTCCTGTAAATTCATAAAGAGTAGGAGTACTTTACTTGCCATTTCACTTCAGTAAGGACTAAAGGTAAAATTTTAAGACAGAATTTTTGAATTTAAAGGAAGGAAATAGTTAGCTAATGCATGAAAATATAAAATGAAAATATGTTTATTGTTTGTTGATTTCTCAATTAAAATTATTATTTTCCTAAAATCAAATATTTGTTCTTAATTTTCTGTTTATTTATGCCATGTTTAGTTCAAGTTAAGGGGCTGTAATAGCACTTTCTACTTTTTTTTAGGAGATCATAAAAAATATCATATAAAAGTTATAAATGATTGATTATAGATAATTCAAAAGTGTCCAAATAATTTCCAAATCAATAACATTTTCCCATTTTTATTTTCTTCCATTTTGTAATTGCAGCAATGGGGATCAACCCCCACTTCCCATTCCTTCACAATGGTTTGGCTGCTGACAATGTTTTTTTTTTAAGGTTCATGAGGCTACTTCAGTAAACTACAAAAGGCAAGGCTTGCTGCATGGCAGGAAAATTCAGGACCTGAATTTGCATACTTTGTCCTTAAAGTATGCTGTGGTAAATAAGTAATCGGGAGGTCTTATATGTTTATTTTTAATGCGTTTTTTCAAATTTTGAGGTTCATAATAAATAGGTCCTTCAAATTATAAATAAAGTATATTTGTTAGGTTTTCTTTCCCTGACCTGTCAGTTTAGGTGGAGGGAAATGTCTCCCCCTATACTTCAGATGTACTACACCAGATGATGGATTAAAAAATTGCTCCATTAGATATCTGAAACTTTTAAGACTGTTTAGCCTAAACGTTTTCAGAACTTTAAGGAAAAGTCATTTATTGTTCCTTTAATGCTAAGCCTTTCATTATATCTGGTCAGTATAAATTGTAAGGAGGGGTAACCTCTGTGAACCTTTGTGCTGTTTTAATAACTTGAATAAGGTCCCTCCTGTATTTCTCCATAGAGCTCCCATTCCACATTGCAGCATTGGCAGAGATTGCTTACTATATTGTGCCATTAAAGCTACAATGAGTGATTTTCAGTGACATCTAAAGGTCAGACTGCACTCCCCCCAGAGCTTTTCCAAACAATATAGAGGCCATCATGGTACAAAATGCCACAACATCCTCGTATAGAGTTTATACAGTATAGGCCCAAGAAAGGAAAAATACTCTACGTTATTTGTTCCACATCATTTTCATGTTTTTAGTGAGCTTCTTAGCATAATGCTATAAATGAATAAGTATCTGTAGTCCTTTAGTTTGATAGTGAGATTGCGTTGGTTGGAAGCATATGTGGTCCCCGTTTAATGTCCAAGTTTTCACTATGATATTGATG